AGTGATCCGCAGGACGTGGTGAGCCCAGCGTCCTCCTATGCCACCATCTTCCCAGAAGCCTCTCCAACCAGTATACTTGTTCTTATTAAACTTTCCCCCAAAATAAAAATGGATGGAAAACTTCCGAACTCATTCTATGAGGCCAGATTTACCTTGATTCCAAAACCAGACAGTGCTCACTTCAGCAGCACATGTACAAAACCAGATAAAGACCCCACTAAAAAGATAATTACAGACCAATATCCCTAATGATCATGGTTGCAAAAATTCTCTACAAGATACTAGCAAATTGAAGCCAACAGTACATTAGAAGAACCACTCACCACGATCAAGTGGGATTTAACCAGGGCTGCAAAGGTGGTTCAATATTTGCAAATCAATCAATGTGATATATTACATTACTAAAAGAAAGACAAGAATCATATGATCTCCACAATAGATCCAGAAAAAAGCATCTGATCAAGTACAACATCCTTCATGATAAAACCCCTCAACAAAGTAGAGATAGAGGGAACATAGCTCAACATTATAAAGGCATATATGAAAGACCCAAAGCTAATATAATCCTCAGTGGTGAAAACCTGAGAGTTTTTTCCTGTAAGGTCAGGAACAAGAAAGAGATCCACACTCACCATTGTTTTTTAACATAATACTAGAAGTCCTAGCCTCAGCAATGACAATAGAAAGAAATAAAATACATCTTAATTGGCAAGGAAGAAGTCAAACTTTTATTATTTGCACATGACATGATTCTCTATAAGGAAAACTCAAAAGACTCCACCAAACAACTGCTAGAGCTGATACATGAATTCTGCAAAGTCACAGGATATAAAATCCATGTACAGAAATCGATTGCATCTCTATATCCCAATAATGAAGCAGCAGAAAGAGAAACCAAGGATTTATCCCTTTACAATGGCACCAAGACCCATATGATACCAAGAAATAAACCTAATCAAAAAGGTAAAGGATCTAAAAATATAGAAAACTTATGAAAGAAATTGAAGATGATAGGAAGAAATATATAAGCATTCTATGCTCATGGACTGGAAGAACAAAAATTGATGAAATGTCTATATACCCAAAGCAATCTATACATAAATGCAATCCTTATCAAAATACCACGAGCAATTTCCACAGAGGTACAACAAATGAACCAAAAATTTGAATGGAATGACAAAAGTCCCTGAATAGCTGAAGCAGTAATGAAAAAGAAAAAAGAGTTGGAGGCATCATGATTCCAGTCTTCAAGTGGTATTACAAAGCTGTAGTGAGCACAGAAGTATCATATTGGCACAAAAACAGATACACATATCAATGGAATGGAATAGAAAATCAAGAAATGGACTCACAACTTTATTGTCAACTAATCTTCAACAAAGCAGGAAAGAATACCCACTGGGGGAACAAAAGACAGTCTCTTCAACAATTGGTATTCAGAAAACTGGAAATTAACAAACAGAAGAATGAAATTGGACCTCTTTTATACACCATACACAAAAATAAGCTTGAAATGGACAAAAGACCTAAATCTTAGAACAAAAAAAAAAAAAGTAAAAATCTTAGAGAAGAACACAATCAGCAATATCTTTGACACAGCTGCAGCAACTATTTACTAGATATGTCTCTAAGAGTCAAGGGAAACAAAATCAAAATTCAACTATTGGGACTTCATCAAGATAAAATTTCTGCACAGTGGAGGAAACAATCAACAAAAGTAAAAGCCAACCTTTGGAATAGGAGAAGATATGTGTAAATGACATAGGATAAAGGGTTAGTATCCAAAGTTTATAAAGAATTTTCCAAACTCAACACCCAAAAAACAAATAATCCAGTTAAGAAATAGGCAGAAGACATGAATAGACATTTTCCCAAAGAAGACATCCAGATAGCTAACAAACACATGAAAAGATGCTCAACATCACTCACCATCAGGATAATAAAAATCAAAACCACAATGAAATATCACATCATACCTGTCAGAATGACTAAAATGCACAACACAGGAAACACAGATGTTGGTGAGAATACAGAAAAAGGAGAACTCTCTTATATCCTTGGTGGGAATACAAACTGGGGAAGCCACTCTGGAAAACAGTATGAAGGCTCCTCAGAAAGTTAAAAATAGCACTACTCTAAGTTCCAGCAATTGTACTACTAGCATACAAAAATACAGAATCGAAGGTGTACACACATCCCAATGTTTATAGCAGCATTATATATATATATATACACACACACACACATACATACATATATATGTGTGTGTATATATACCCTCTCCCCACACACACAATGGATTATTACTCAGCCATCAAAAAGAAGGAAATCTTGCCATTTGCAATGATGTGAATGGAGCTAGATAGAGTGCATTATGCTAAGCAAAATAAGTCAGTGAGAGAAAGAAACACAAATACCATATGATTTCACTCATATGTGGAATATAGGAAGCAAAACAGATGAACATATGAGAAGGTAAAAAAAAGGAATCAAATAATAAGAGACTCTTAACTATAGAGAACAAACAGGATTGATGGAGGGAGGTGGGTAGGGTATGGGTTCAATGGGTGATGTTACTAGGGAGGGCACTTGTTGTGATGAGCACTAGTTGTTATGTCTAAGTGATGAATCACTAAATCCTGAAACTAATATTATACTATATGTTAACCAACTAGAATTTAAATAAAATTAGTTTAAAAAAAATTGAAGCTAAAAAAATACACTAAAATACAAAATTATCAAGTACTATTTATTCCAGGGATACAAGGGTGGTTCAACATCCACAAATCGGTGTGATGTGCCACATTAACAAAATGAAGCATCAAAACCTTATTGTCATTGCAAAATGCAGGAAAAGCATTTGACAAAAGTGAACATCCATTCATGATATAAAGTCTCAACAAAACGGGTATGGAAGAAACATACCTCAGCTTACAAAATGACATTTTGACAAGTTCACAGGATCATACCCAATGATAAACAACTGAAAGCTCTTCATCTAAGATCACAACCAGGATTAGGATGCCCATTCTCTCTCATTTTATTGGAAATTGTAGCAACAGCAATTAGGCTAGGAAAAGAAATAAAAGGGATCCAAGATAGAAAGGAAGAACAAAAGTCTCTATTTGCAGATGATCATGATATTATATACAGGAAGACCTAAAGAGTCTACCAAAAACACTGTTAGAACTAATAAAAATTCAATTAAGTTGTTAAATTGCAGGATATGAAATAAGAATGCAAATATAAGTTGCATTTCTTTTCCTTTAAATTTGTTAAGTTTATTTCCATTTTTTTACAGAGAGAGAGCGCATGCACATGTGTGAGTGGGGGAGGGGCAGAGAGAGAGGGAGAGAATCCCAAGCAGGCTCTGCACTTTCAGCACACAGCCCAATGCAGGGCTGGAACCCACAAACCGTGAGATAATGACCTAGGCCAAAATCAAGAGTTGGATGCTTAACCGACTGAGCTGCCCAGGAGCCCCATAAGTTGCCTTTCTATATACTAACAACAAACTATCAGAGAAATTAAGAAACATCTCATTTATGATAGCATCAAAAAGAAAAAAATATGTAGGAATAAATTTATCCAAGGAGGTAAAAGACTTGTACATTGAAAACTAGAAGACACTACTAGAAGAAATGTTAGAAATCACAAATAAATGAAAAAATATTCCATGCTCATGGATAAGAAGAAACAACATTGTTAAATTGTCCATACTACACAAAGCAATCTACAGATTCAGTGCAATCCCTATCAATGTTACAATGTCATTTGTCACAGAAATAGAACTAACAGTCCTAAAATTTGTTTGTAAGCATACAAGACCCCAAATAGCTAAAGCAATTTTGAGAAAATAGAACAAAGCCTGAGGCATCAGACTTCTTGGTTTCAAATAATATTACCAAGTTATACTAACCAAAACACTATGATACTGGTATTAAAGGAAAAAAAGACAGGTTAACCAATGGAACAAAATAGAGATTACAGATGTTAACCAACATCTGTATGGTCAATTAAATTATGGCAAAGGAGATGAGAATATATTATGGGGATAGGATAGACTCTTCAATAAATGGTGTTGGGAAAACTGGAGAGCCACATGCAAAAGAATGAAACTGGACCACTCTCTTACACCATACACAAAAGTTAACTCAGAACAGTTTAAAGATATGAATGTAAGACCTGGAAGCATAAAACTCTTAGAAGAAAGCAGAGGTATAAGACATTGGTCTTAGCAATGGTTTTGTTATGGGAGTGGGGATATGACACCAAAAACAAACGCAACAAAAACAAAAGTAGGCAAGTGGGAGAATACCAAACTAACAAGCTTCTGTACAGCAAACTATCAACAAAATGGAAAGGCAACCTATTAAAAGGGGAAATATTTGTAAATCGTTTATCAAATAAAGGGTTAATATCCAAAATATATCAAGAACTCATACAAGAAAATAGCAAAAATAACAAAAATCCATTTAAAACATTGACAAAGAATTTGAATAGTTGTGAAAGTATATACACACATAAATAGGTATATATGAATATATACACACATATATATATATTAGTCTGATATGAGTGCTATAACAAAATAAGACCCATATACTTTGGGATTATTACACACTATGGTAATTAGTATATTAATTTTCCTTCTCATGCACTTGGCTATTAAATGCAGCTCAACTATATGTCTGAAGTAGCTGCTTAAATGGTACATATTCCTGAGTCCTTTCCCAGCCACTTCAACAATTTAGTGTTTGATAGGGTGTCTTCAATCTATCTACTTCAATATTTTCTCCATTTTCTTGGACAAATAAAAACTAACTTACAGCTATGTTGTAAAAGATCTTAATTCATAGAATATTCAATTCAGTTCACACTATAATATCTAATGCATCAAGTGTTTATCTCTGTATATACTACTAGTAAAAAGACAGAATTCCAATATTATAAAAGTATCATTTCATTTATTTGATTAGCTATTAGAATACAGAACTCACCAGATTTGGGGTATGTAATAATGAAGACATCACTTTCTCTGATTACAAAATCATCTAAATTTTCTATAAAGCCAATATCAAGTTCTTCACGACCAAAATGATATCCTTTAAATTTGAATAAAAATGAGTCTGCATATTCCATATTTCTGTTACCTACAAAAAACATACAAAATTATTTGGAAGAAATGCAGTAAAATTTTATGCAGTCTTCCCTTCCATATTTTCAGTTGGTGGCTATATATATATATGCTGAGAGAAGTAGCTTATTTCTTGTTTTCTTCACAAACACTGACAACTGACTGGCTCTGGAAGCTACTATCCTAGATTCCAGACCTGTAGAGTTTGGTCTGATGCCCAGGAGCCATGTGTTTATGGGCTAGGTCTTAGTTTTATGCGTGTGTGCTCCATTTATGTAGGTACAGGGAAAATAGTGAAAAAATAATTATGTAATTGCAAAAAAAAATGCTCTTAATCAGAAATCATAGATAGATAATAGATGATAGATAGATAGATAGATAGATAGATAGATAGAATCACATATAGATAGATATTTCTAAAGCAGAAATCATATATACATTAGATAGATAGATAGATAGATAGATAGATAGATAGATAGATGATAGATAGATAGATATAATCATAGAAAGATATCAGAAGAGAAAGAGAGATTGAATATACAAAGTGGACTTGAGTGGGCTTCAGAAACATTTGTCTCCCACTACTCCTTCAGCAGCTGAGTTTTTATCCCCCTGGAACTGTAGTACAATATTTTAGCTTCTAGCAGGCTTGTACAAGTTTTATTTATATACTTTCTGGGTGGGAGTTATGTATTCATAAGCTTTTCGGTAACTTTTAGTTTGAACTTTGCTTTATTTCCTAACTTGTGACTTGCTTAGAGTCACCGTTTACCTGCATTATTCCCCTCAGTTCCCCACCGTTTACCTGCCATTATTCCCCTCAGTTTTGTCACTGTTGAGTGAGTGGTGAGGTCTTCATACCACATAGGGATGTGGTATCACAGAGGGAATGACAGGTCCCGGGGTTGGCTGTTCAGGTACTGTTTTGTGTCCTCTTTTTCAGGGGTTCCACACTCTATCCAGTTTGTCTTCTGAACAGAATGGTCCTAAACGATAAACATCTAAGGTTTATTCAAACTGCCTCTGGATAAACACCTAAGATTCATTCAAACTCCCTCTATATATACTTGGGTTATTGACCTTAGATGCTGCTTCTCTTCTGTTGTTAGTGCTTCCTGAATAACAAACATTTCCTCATTTATACTAAGATAAATCACCAAACTTTGGCATCTGTTGATGTTACTGCATGCACACTATCTGATTTGGAACTGGACTCAAGTCCTTCCTTATACATATCGTCTCACCCTTATTTGGGAAAAGTAGATTGTGTTTCTTATTTAGAACTACTCTCAGTAACTTTGGAATTCATGGTTTCATCTGTCCTATTGTCACATTTCATTAAATAAAAATTTGATCCAAAGAAACGATTTAATCCCTTTTATTGGAGTAATCATTACTGTTAAAAAAATGTTTAAACCATAGAGATTCAACAATAGAGAAGAAACTGAGATGGATGGAGGGAGAAGGGTGGGAGATGGGATATATGAATGATCGGTATTAAGGAGGGCACTTGTTATGATGAGCACTGGGTGTTTATGTAAGGGGATGAATTGCTGAATTCTACTCCTGAAACCAATATTGCACTTTACGTTAACTAGCTAAAATTTAAATTAAAAACAAAGAAGTCTTTAATGTGACAGAAATTGGACCCTGTAATTATGAAGACAAACTTTTTCTCACAGTATTTCCTAAATTAAAACATAACACATTCCTGAAGCCAAAGTTGTTAATTGCTAGAAAGGAATAATTGTGATTCACTAAAATAAAAAACTTGAGAAAAGCAAACTGATCCTTACGATTGTTTTTTTTTTTTATTTTTTTTATGTTTTTATTTTACTTTTGAGAGAGAGACAGAGTGCGAGCAGAGGAGGGGCACAGAGAGAGGCAGACACAGAATCCGAAGCAGGCTCCAGGCTCTGAGCTGTCAGCACAGAGCCCAACGCGGGCTCGAACTCACGGACTGTGAGATCATGACCTGAGCCGAAGTCGGACACTTAGGCAACTCAGCCACCCAGGAGTCCCTGATTCTTATGATTCGCGAAAATTTTAGTTATTTGCCAAACTTGTAAGGCTGAAAAGTGGGAAAATTACCCAGTTTTGAGTTTAAGCACAACCTCTGACCTAATATTTCCTGACTACTAAGCTCTATTGGCTTTGTCTTAACTATAACACAAAAATTTAAAAAATTTGAGTAGTGATATGAAAGTGTGTATGCTGTTGGGGATAGACTCCATAATTAGTTCTAGTAAATCACTAAAAAAGGCAGGCACTAAAAAAAGGCAGAACAACCACTTCTAGGACAAGATTGGAATCTAGAGAATGTATATTACCTAAAATATCCAGTTTCTGACAAAAGTACATATGTCAAAAAACAAGAAAGTGTAACACATATTCAGGGGAATAAAGGGCAATTAGTAAAAACTATCTCTGAATGGACCCAGATGCTGGACTTGGCAAAAAAATAAAATAACAGCTATAAAACAATGTTCATTTATTGAGTCCTTAGATCTCAACAAGTTTGATCCGACAGAAGAAAGAATCATGGAACATGAAAACAGATCAGTAGTGAAGAGAATTACAAAGAATAAAAAGAACAGAAACACAAAGAATGAATAAAAGTGAACATAACCTCAGAGACCTGTAGAACATATCCAACAGAGGAACATATACAGAAGGAAAGGACAGAAAAAAATCTTTGAAGAAAGTATGGTCAAGAATTTCCCATATTTGAGGAAAAATATTAATTTACACATGCATAAAGCTTGACGAACAAGTAGGATAAACGTGAATAGGACAAAAGCCACACATATCACAGTTAAACTACTGAAACATACATCTTAGGATTGTTTCTTTTGTATTTGTGAATGATTTTGGTATTTTAATGAGTACTGAGTTCAATCTCTTGATTGCTTTGGGTGGTATGAGCATTTTATGATATTAATTTTTCCAATCCACAATCATGAGGTGACTTCCATTTGTTTGTGCCTTCTTTGATTTCTTTCAGCAAAGTCTTGTACTTTTCATCATACAGGTCTTTCACTTCCCTGGCTAAATTATCTAGATTTTATGTTTTTATTTTTGATGCTACTCTGAACAAGATATTTTTATTTTTTTCAGATGTTTCATTATTACTGTAAAATAATGAAACTGATTTCTGTATATAGATTTTGTATCCTGAAATGTTACTCTGATTAATTTGAACAGTTTTATGATTGACTCTTCAGGATTTTCTATACATAAAATCATATCAGTTGCACATAGTGACCATTTTACTTTTGCCTTTCTGATTTGGATGCCTTTTCTTTCTTTGTCTTGCCTAATGGCTCTAGCCAGGACTTCTAGTACCACAGTAATGGTGAGAGTGGGCATTCATGTCTTGATCCTTATCTTAGAGAAAAAGCTTTCAACTTTTCACTATTGAATATAATATTAGCTGTGGCTTGTCATATATAGTCCATACTATGTTGAGGTGTATTCCTTCTATACTCAATCTATTAAGGCTTTATAACATGAAGGATGCTGTATGAGTTGCATTTTTGTGTGTCTAGTGACATAATTATGGTATTATCTTTTATTTTATTGATATATTAAATTTATTGAAGTGTGTGTGTTAAAGGAAACTTGCATACTAGAGAGAAATCGAATTTGGTCCAGGTGTTCTTGAATTTAATTTGCTATTTTGTTGAGAATTTTTGCATCAGGGATATAGGCCTATAGTTTTCTCTTCTTGTGGTATTCTTATCTGGTTTGGGTATGAGGGTAACAGTGGCCCCACAGAACGAGTTGGGAAGCATGCCCTTCACTTTGGTATTATGGAAAAGTTTGTGGAGGAATGATGTTTCTTTAAATGTTTGGTAGAATTCACCTGTAAAGCCATCAGTTCCTGGGGGGTTGTGTTGGGCTGATTACTGATAAATCTCCCAATTTACTCATTTGTCTATTTTTCTCTTTCTTCTGGATTCAGTCTTGCTAAGGCTGTGTTTCTAGAAATGCATCCTATCTTCTAGGTTATGTAATTTGCTGGCATACAATTGTTCATAGTAGTGTCTTATGCTCCTATGTATTGCTGTAGTATCACTTGCAATGTCTCCTCTTCCGTTTCTAATTTTATTTGAGTTATCTCTCTTTTGTTCTTAGTCTAGCTAAATTTTTTTCAATTTGGTCAATCTTTTCAAAGAACCAGATTTTAGTTTTGTTGTTTTGTTGTTGTTTGGGTCTTCATTTCATTTCTGCTCTGATCTTTCATCTCTATTATTTCCTTCCTTCTAATAAGTTTGGACTTAACTTGTCCTTCTCCAGTTCCTTATGCTGTAAAATTAGGTAGTTTATTTGATGTCTTCCTAATTCTTTGATTTTTCGATTATTAAATTTCTATCCAGAACAGTTTTTTTCTCTAGCCCATAAGATTTGATATGTTGTCTTTCCATTTCATTTGTTTTGAGATAATGTTTTATTTTCCTTTTGATTTACTTTTGACTTTTTGGTTATTCAGAAGTATTTTGTTCAGTTTCCACATATTTGTGAATCTTCTCACTTTCTTATTGTCAGTTCCATAAATAGGAAAGAAAGTCTGAAATTTGAGATTTGTTTTGTGTCCCATCATATAATCTATCCTGCAGAATAAAGAGATGAGTGTGTACTTGGCAAATATTGGAGGGAATGTCCTATAGATGTCTCTTAGGGGCACCTGGGTGACTCAGTTGGTTGAGTGTCTGACTTCGACTCAGGTCATGATCTCACAGTTCATGAGTTTGAGCCCTGTATCGGGCTCTGTGCTTAGCTCAGAGCCTGGAGCCTGCTTCGGATTCTGTGTCTCCCTCACTCTCTCTCTCTGCCCCTCCCCAACTTGCTCTCTGTCTCTCTCTCAAAAAATAAGATAAAATTAAAATTAAAAAAAAATTTTTTTTTAAAAGAAGTCTCTAAAGCCCATTTCTTCTAAGGTACTGTCCCATTGCAATGTTCCCTTGTTGATTTTCTGTCTGGATAACGTATCTACTGCTGACAGTCAGGTAATGAAGTCCCCTACTATTAATGGATTGCTATATGTTTCTCCCTTAAGATCTGTTGGTATTTGCTTAATAGACTTCAGTGCTTGAATGTTAGGCGTACAAATACTTGTGGTTTTCACATCTACTTGCTGTATTGACCCTTTTATCATTATGTAATGACCTTCTTGTCTTTTGTTACCACTTCTGATTTTGACTTGAAACTCAGTTTGTTTGATATATAGTAGGCTGCAGCTATTGTCTTTTGGTTTTCACTTGCTTGGAAAATCATCTGCCATCACTTCACTTTGAGCTTATGTATGTCTTCAGAGCTGAAATGTCTCCTATAGGTGACATATAGTTGGGTCTTGTTTCTTTAACCATACAACCACTGTGTGCTTCATGATTGGTAAATTTATCCATTTATTTTTAGGGGGATTATTAATATGTAGAACTTATTAGTGTTCACTTGCTATTTCCCATCTATATTGTTTCTTTTTCATTCTGTTTCTGCCTCCCTTGTTAATTGGTGGGTTTTGTCGTGATATGTGGCCTTTTTTCTTTTTTTCCATGTTTTGTGTCTGCTCTAGATTTTTGCTTCAGTGTTTCCTTGAGGCTAACATAAAACATGTGGGCCTTTTTCTTTTGCTAGCAACTCCTATTCATTTGTATCTGCTCTACATTTTTGCTTTACAGTTACCTTGAGGCTTAAATAAAAAATGCTAGCCCTTTTTCTGCCACTAGCAGCTCAAATCAAGTTGTCTATGTTACCCTCTTTTATGTTTTTGATGTCACAAATTACCTCTTATTATGCTATGAATTTGTTAACCAATTATAGTGACTATCATTATTTTTAATGCTCTCTTCCTTTACCCTATTCTGTAATTGTTTGACAAACTATTCTTAAACAGAGGTAATGTTCTAATTTTGACTGTCTGTATCACCTTTATCAGAGTTTTATGTGATTTCATTTATTAGTGTCTTTCATTTCAGCTGGAAGAGTTCTTTCTGCATTTCTTGCAAGGCAGGTCTAGTGGTAAACTCCCTCGAGTTCCTGCTGAGAAATCTGCTAATAGCCTAAGGCATAGGGGGTAAAGGGTAGGGGGTTCTTTGTGGGCTAACTCTTCTTTCCCTTGCCTTAAGAATTCTATCATTGAGTTTGGACACTCATCATAATGTCTCATTGTTTTCCCATTGAGATAATAAAATGTTCTATGAGCTCTGTTGACTTGTATGTTAAATTCCTTTCCCAGGTTTCTCTGACCCCTTCCTCTGTTCTCCTGATACACTCCTTAATCTTATATTGGCTTTTCTAATAGTCTGATAACTCACATAGGGTTTCGTCACTTGTTTGAAATCCTAGCTCTCTCCTTTTCTACTTGAATCATTTCTAAATTCCTATCCTCCAGGTAACTTAATGTCTCTCCCATGTGACCTGCTGTATTTCTAATGCTTCTTACTGCATTTTTTCATCTGAGTCTCTCAGCTCCAGAATTTGCTTGAGTCTTTTTTTTATAATTCCAATCTCTTTGGTAAAGTACTCCTTCTGTTCATTAGTTTTATGCTTCAGTTCATGGAACTGCCTTCTAAATTTTCTTGTAGCTTATTGAATTTCTTCATAAAAGCTGTCTTGAATTATACATCAGATCACAATATTTTGTCTTTGAATTTGGCTTTGAAGGATTGCCCTTTATCCTGTGTGATACTGTATTACTATGATTCTTCATAGTGGATGAAATGTGCCTTTGTCATCTCACTTGAAGGCCTGAATACCTTTCTTGTGTAGAAAAGGCTTTGACTCTAACAGTTAAACAGATTGGCAGTCAGAAACTTACCTTTGTTTCTCAGTTCATGATATAGCACAATTATTTTATTTTATCTTACTGGATCTGACTCACCATTAAATTAGGAGCATACCTAAAGGATCTGACATTTTTTAAAAAGTGGCAGGAGAGTTGTGGGCTTAGCCCTTGGGTCTTTGGGTGTGCCCAAGGACACTGGGATGGGTGGAAGGTATCTCAGAGGTCCCAAACTTCTTCCTGAAATACCAAGGCAGACAGCAGAACACTTCTTCCTTCAATTCTCTTTCTCTGCCTTCTTCCCTTTCCGTCCTTTGTCCCAGTCGCAGAGTTCTCTTCCGGGAAACCCAGGTGCTGCTGAAGAGCAACAGGCCCCTCCAGCTGCACCTGAGCAGTCGGGAGGACTTCACTTACCACCTGTGCTTTCCGCCTCCTCTGCCTCCTCTGCCGGTTCCAGCACTGCCGCTCCTGCTGCTGCACCTCCCTTGGCCCTTTGGCCCCATAGCCTCTCTGGTTCTCAATCCACCCACTTTGGATGCACATGGATGATCTCTAATGTCCCTGTATGCTCTGTAGAGGCACTTTTATTCAGTCATGGATGTCCAATTACACGCAAATTGAGGGGAGAGAAAAATGAACAACTTACACTGCCAAGATGCTGATGTCACCTGTTACTCCTTTTGGTAAGGCTGAATGAAGAATCTCCTGTCTGGAATTTTATCTAAATGCAGACTGAGATGGGGTTTTAATGCAGTACAATTGTTACGTGGAAGAAGAGCCATATAAGAAAGATTAGGCAAAGAACCTAAGAAAGACCAAGGGTCCAAGGAACAATGATAGGTGCTTGTTTTGTCTCTATGAAAATATTATTCGTCCTGGAACAGGGAGAACGCTACTGGGAAGGCTCTGACTTTATTTTGAAATCAGTCCATTCTAGATGTGTTTAAAATACATCATAGTTGTCCAAACTCCATTTAATATCCTAGAATCAAAATTATCACTCCAGGTCTGGTATGGTGGCCTAAATCCCCTTCAGCCCATCTTTCACTATCTATAAATTCTGGAGAAGTACAAAACACCCCACAACGAGGTAAAAGTAACAAGGAATGCATGGGAGACATAACATGAACAAGTGGACGGTATAGGGAATAAGGTTTCTTTTTTTAACTTTTGAGCCTTTTGTTTCTGCAATAGTTTTTCCTCTTGTGGGATTGTCCTCACAGAAGAAACTGTTAGGATCCCTGGCTTCTTCCCAGCCTGATATGACAAAGAAAAATGCTCCCATACATTTCCAAACCCCACCCAGAACCACTTCCCTAGCACCACTTGGGGTGTGTGGGTAGCCAGGGGCCCTAGTCAACAGCCATCCCACCAAACTCTGCCCTCAGCCAGTTCTGCTCTAGTGCTGTTGTGCCATAGGTCACCACGATGCTGTAATTGAAATCATAAGATGTTTTAGTTTGCGTTCTCCCAGGACACACACTGAGATTTGCATGAGGACTGAGAACTGCCCTCAGGAACAACACCTGTGAGGGAGTGAAGGCAGGTGCTCTGGGCAGAGGGAGAAGTTGGACTGCAATGCACTAGCAACAAAACCCACAAGTGATCACACAAGGAGCTAAGGAGTTGGGCTGCCCTTCAAATTGTTTTAACTTGAGGCAGTTTGGCTGCTACAGATGTGAAGGCAGGTAACATTTGTGTAACTGCAGCTGAAGGAGGTGCCATCTGCACTACTAAATGTTTGGTTTTCTCCCGGATTCAATATGTTAATGAAATATTGGCAAAAGGCAGTGGAGCAATATTTGTCTTAGTCCAATCAGGCTGCTATCACAAGGCAGCATACACTGGGTGGCTTATGAAGACACTTATTTCTCACAGTTCTGAGGCTGGGAAGTCCTAGATCATATCACCAGCAGATTCATACCTAGAGAGAATCCCCTTCCTTCGTGGTCTTCTCACTGTGACCTCACATGGCAGAAGCAGCAAGGGAGCGCAAGTCTGCTTTCATTTTTATAAGAGCCCTAATCCCAATCATCACCTCCCCAAAGCTCACCTCCTAGCATTATCGCCTTGGGAGTTAGGATTTCATCATACAAATTTCTGGGGGGACACAAACATTCGGTCCAAGGCAGTACACTTATTCCCTATAATTTCATTGTGTGAGGCAGGGGGAAAAGGTGGTGTGGGAAACATGAGAAGATTTGTAGACAAAGTCCCATGAAAAATTCACCAAGTTTTGACCATGTTTATTAACTGTCCTTTTTGAATAAAATTGTCGTGTTCTAGAAGTATTGTGATCCCCACCTTACAGGTGAGGAAGTTGAGGATCAGAGATTAAATGAATGATCAGAAGCTCCCAGTTAGTAGGAGGGCCTATTCCAGTTCTCACCCCTCTGCCAGAACCATCTCTTAGATTTTCAAACTAGACAAGGCATTAGCCTTCAGTAGTGAACTAAAATATGAAGAATTAAATATTAAATATTCACATTTTCCCCTTGTGTTCAAACTCTCTGGGGCTGGCTCAACGTGTGCTGGCACATTTTCAATTGTGCATCTATGCCTAAGAGAGAGAAATACAACCTCCTTCCATAAAATACATGGACACAGAGAACTTCCTATCTCAGACAGAATCCACTAAAATTAGTTGCTAATAGGGGCACCTGGGTGGCTCAATCAGTGAAGCATGCAACTCTTGAATTCAGCTCAGTCATGATCTCACAGTTTTTGAATTTGAGCCCCTCATCTGGTTGTGTGCTGTCTGCGCTCTCAGCGCTCTAGGCACAAAGCCTGCTGGGATTCTCTCTCTCTGCCCCTTCCCTGCTTGCACTCAAAATAAATAAACATTTTTCAAAAATTAGTTGATGATTGCAAAAAAAAAAAAAAAAACTAAATAAATACCTTTGAGAATGTGCCTAACACTCTCCTTTAATGTCATTTTCAAGGGCCATAGCATCAATATTTATCTTTTTAGAAAACATCCTTAGTAACAGATCCTCAAGTGTTAAGGGCCTTTCCAAATAATAGAAACAGTCTGACCTTTAAAAACAAAATTTAAATGTCAAAAGATACATCCAAATTAATATCGAAGTTCTTTTAAAACATTATCCGAAAAGTATAGGTGAAAAATTTTGTAGATCCATACTTTCTAGACAGTCTGAGTTCTACAAGAATCAATTTGTTCAAGAGACCAACAAATCTGGGTGTAATTCATTTTTCTTTAATGATTATATCACATCTACATAGGCTTGGACTCTTATGGTCAAAGCAATAACCTACCAGCTGGTATCTCAAGCATGTGCAGTAGCCCATAATCTAATAATTTCCAGGCCCTTAATTACTTCAGTTTAACTATCTGCTTGAAGTTGGTAACAGTATGGCTCATTCTGCTTGTCTTCCGAGCATCTTCATTTACACAAAGAAGCACCCTTTACCTAAATCTTCACCAGGTTCCAACTCCAGGCCTTTCTCCCTAATATTCTTAGGATGGAGGCCAGGAAACCCTGAAAGCCTTTTCGACCTACCAAGGACTACAATAATGTGAGTGAGGCACTGATCTTGGGTGCAAAATTTTAAAAAGCACCAAAAACTCAGTTATTAAGATCAACATTTTAATGCAGTATTTTAAAAAATAAAGATTTAATGTAAAATCCATGATAAATAAAATATACAAATTTTAAGTAATTACTGATTTTTCCTTCAGGTGCCAAAATGGCTCTACACAGCACTGTTAATTAAAATTTTGATTTGGCATTCCTTTACAATAGTCATAAACGTTTTCCAACATATTCCCATTTTTCTATTAATGGAAGGTGCACTAAGTCGTGCATTACCACCCCACCTCACCCCTTTTCTTTCCAAGTCCTTTGCCCAACAAAGGGGAAATTAAACTGAAAGCTATAAACTTCATGATAAACCTTATGGCAGTATTCTGCATCTCTGTTACTCTGACATAGGTCCTAAAGCAGCAAACAAGCTAATGTCATTCCCATTTACGTCTTTACATGGACTCCTACTCCATGTGCATTGGTGAAAAAAACATTTCCTATCACTTTAGAACTCAATGGACTCTCTAAAATTACTCCCTACGGTTTTGGAAGTGTGTGACTCATTTTTATATATAATCATATGATGTTTACCTTTGTTGCTGGACATTTATGTTCTCTGAAAGACAAACAAAACACTGTGAGCTACTTGAGATAGTTTACCTGCTTTCTGTTTGCACCTCCATAACACAAACAACAGGCTAGCACATACATATTGAAAACTCACACTCTCCTTTCTCCTAGAATCCAAGAATGTATCTCTTTGCCACTTGACACATACACCTTTGGAGTTTGTGACAGTACAATCAATGAACTCATCCTTTCATCCATAAGAAATGTTACTAATCACTCTTTCCGGTTTTACCTCAAATAGGAAATGTTCATGTAACCTTTTAGAGGTGTTTGCCTTAGATCAGTGCACTTTTTTCCTAAGGCACCTCTCCTGGCAGAAGAATATGAAGTAATGCAGAATCTGGAGGCATAACTCAAAGCTGCATATAGCAAATAAAACACTTCCTTGAACTGCCATGGTTTACCTTTAAAATGCAGGAGAACTTTGCATAATTAACTCATTTCAACAAATAATAGATGCCTATTCGGTGCCAGACATTGTCACAGGCATACAGCAATGAATACACATAGTAGTATTCGTGTTTAATCTTATAATACTTCATACAACTTAGCATAAGTAGAAAAACAAAAGCAAAAATTTTCCCAAATCCAAGAGCAAAACTGAGAATCCAAGATGGCCAATTACTGCTTCAAATACCACCAGTCATGCTTTTGTGCATCCTGGGACTATGTGTGCTCCAGTTTGAGAAGTAGAGTCTTTGGTTAATTCCCATAAAATAAAAGCAATATTAAAGTTAACATTTACTTTGGATGAAAATACTTGGGAGTATCATTACAACAAACTCTGAGTCTTCATTTCCATATCATCAGGTTCTGCCTACATTCTGAAATGACAAAGATGGAATCCACTTCAATACTTAGAGAAAACATATAAAACTTACACTTCAGGGGCGCCTGGGTGGCTCAGTCAGTTAAGCATCCAACTCTTGATTTTGGCTCAGGTCATGATCTCATGGTTCCCAAGTTTGAGCCCCATGTCAAGCTCTATACTAGACAGTGCAGAGCCTGCTTGGGATTCTCTCTCCCTCTCTCCCTCTCTCCCTGCCCCTCCCCACCCCTTTTCAAAATAAATAAACTTAAAAAAAAAAAAACAAAATCAACCATATACTTTAAAAAAGTCTTGTGCAAGAGGGAGGTAGAATCATTCTTGACACTTTAAGGTCAAGTCCTCACTGACCTCAGCACTATATTGTTCATCATTGCTTTTCTTACCCTTAATTAAACTACTCTCAAGTTCTTTTTTTTTTTTTTTAAACATTTATTCATTTTTGAAAGACAAAAAGAGACAGAGTGTGAGCAGTGGATGGGCAGAGAGAGAGAGGGAGACACAGAGTCTGAAGGAGGCTCCAGGCTCTGAGCAGTCAGCACAGAGCCCGACACAGGGCTCAAACCCACAAACCGTGAGATCATGACCTGAGCCGAAGTCAGGCACTCAACCGACTGAGCCACTCAGGCGCCCCAACGGCTCTCAAGTTCTTAATGCATCTACTGATCAGCCTCAGAAAGAATCTCTTCTTAGAAAAAGTCTCACACAACACAAATTTTTGGACTTCTCTCTGTAAAGAAATGACAAACACTACTAGTATTCCCTTCTATTTATTGGTCAGAACCAAAGCTGGTGAAAAAGTATTACATTCTTCAATGATAGTATTATATTCCTCAATTTTGTCTTAAATAATTTGATTTTAACCATAAACCTAAATCCAAAAATAAACATGGGATTGATACTGCTTATGTGGATGTGTAATACGTGTATTTTTGAAAGGAGGCAGCTATTTGTAATAGCACAAGTAATTCCCTATTAGGATTAAGATTCAATTTTCCAAAGTTGCAGTGCCTAGATAACCTGCATGAAGCCTGGCTCTCCTACCTGGGGTCCCCAAATCAATCATTCCAAGCTATGATGAAGAAGGTCTCACAAGTACATGAATGTGGATGTGTGTTCTCTTGCAGACACTGCAAAACCCCCAAAATCCAGACCTTTCCAGACTGGTTAAATTCGAAGAGTGGAGGAACATCACAATGTATCTATTTCACAACTACAGGACTATGGTTCTGAATAAGGAGTATGCAACAGTATCACCTGTGTCACCGGCATGAGCTTTCACTGTTTTAAAATTCAGATTAAGGTCAGTGTTTAATAACCTCAACTACGGAGGGCCTACAAGTGCACACCTTGGAATAACCACAAAGGATTCTGATTCAAACACTACCATAAGACTAAAGGCCTTTGTCATTCTGACTATATTCAGGTTTCTGGTTTTGCAAAGACTTAAATATATCATGCCCAAAGGCTAGAATTCAGAAGGCTTAATGTTCTCTTCACCTCTGTTCTCTGACATTTTATATTAATGACAACACTTAGAATCCAAAAGCATCACTGTCTCCCACATAAAAATTCCAAGTTATTACAACTCCTTGTATATGAGCCCACACCTGTACACAGTAGCAGACTGTCTTCTAGTCTTAGTGTTATAGGCTGGATCTCTAACGCTACATGATTTTATATGTATGACCTTACTCCTAAACAATAAGAGGGACTCAACATTTTATATTTGAAATTTTAAGGTCAGTTTATTAAGTTCAATGATGAAAGCTATCAGAAGAATATTCTCCTGAGAATTATTTTTTCTTAGAAAAAAAGAAAGAAAAATCAACACCTCAGCACAGCCACAGATGCTGTGGCAGTCACGCCTCTCTGCGGATGCGGATAGTCCATTAGTCAGTCAAATCACTCTCTGGGTCAGCAGGATTGTAGTCCGGATCATCGTCATCATCCTCTAGCTCCAAGTCATCCATTTCCTGGAACAGAGATTCATCTACCTCCACATTGTTTCCAGCTGTAAAAGACAAAACATTTCACCTTCAGTCTTATGCTCAGGAGTAAAAGATGTAACGCACTGGCGACAGCAAACTTCTAAATGTGCCAGTGAGATGCCAGTGATGAAATCTGAAACTACTACTGCAAATCATAGTTACAATGATCTAAGCAGCAGAGGCACATTTTTAATTTTTTTTTAATGTTTATTTATTTTCGAGAGAACAGAGTGCGAGCGGGGGAGGGGCAGAGAGAGAGCGAAACACAGAATCCGAAGCAGGCTCCAGCCTCTGAGCTGTCAACACAGAGCCTGATGCGGGGATCTAACTCATGGACCACGAACGAGATCATGACCTGAGCCGAAGCCGAATGCTTAACAGACTGAGCCACTCAGGCACCCCCTTTTTTTAAATGTTTATTTATTTAGAGAGAGACAGCAAAAGCATGCGCATGAGCGGAGGAGGGGCAGAGAGAGAGGGAGAGAAAGAACCCTAAGCTGGCTCCGCATGGTCAGCGCAGAGCCTGATGCGTGGCTCAATCTCACAATCCATGAGATCATGACCTGAGCCAAAATCAAGAGGTGGACATAACTGACTGAGCTACTCAGGCGCCTCAGAAGAGACACATTTTAAAAACAACTTCCTGCTTCCAGTTCAAATTCTAAAAAACCCCATTATAAAAAAAGCCTTCCTAGAATGAGTTATTTATGATGTGGCATTTTATAAATTGGAGATGATGATATGTCCTGGATTTACAAAGTTGATTATTACTGACAATGGTGCCTGTACCAGTTCATCTCTTCCAACAGTGGCAGATACATACATCACCAAACTCAACTCTACTTGCTATTTAATTGATAGGTATAACTTGATCTTCACTCTCACTCAGTTCCCATTATAACTAATAGTATGCTTTTCTCAAATTCCAAATGTCTGAGTCCTACAGGAAGCAATACATAGGCCTTGCATTAAACATCTTTACTTTTCAGTTTGAAGTACATAAAGGTCAGATATTACAGTACTTAAATCACCAAAAATTCTTCATCTTCCTTTCCTATGAGACTCTAGTCCACTGACATTGAGTCTTGCTTCATGCCTATGAGCAACTGAGTAATAAAATACACTTTTGTAGGGGTGGCTGGGTGACTCAGTCAATTAAGCGGCTGACTTCGGCTCAGGTCATGATCTCACAGTCCGTGAGTTCGAGCCCCGTGTCGGGCTCTGTGCTGACAGCTCAGAGCCTGGAGCCTGCTTCGGATTCTGTGTCTCCCTCCCTCCCTCCCTCTCTCTCTCTGCCCTTCCCCCACTCATGCTGTCTCTCAAAAATGAATAAATGTTAAAAAAAAATTTTTTTTAAGAAAATATACTTTTGTTAAGTACAGGCCAAAGAATAACTCACTCTCTCGGGGAGAGGCAGGGAAGGCTTCCCAGAACAGATGACATCTGAAATATCTTTACAATAAATTTGAACTCACTAAGAAGAAAAGGGGCCAGATAAAGCAACTATAGGTAGAAGTATATGCAAAGGCAGAAAGAAAAATAAGACTTTGAATACTTCTAACCGGAACAAAAGATTCTTGAGGAAAAATATCTAGAGATATCATAAATGAAGGCCAAACAGAAGGATTGTATAGGCCAACCTTTTCCTCTAAGCAACAGAGAATCCTCAAAGGATTTTAAGGAGAGAAGTGTCATGATTACACATGAGTTTTAGGAACGTCAGCTCAGGGGCGGTGACTAAAGGCAGTAAAAGAGAAAGACACTGGAGCAGGGAGACAATGTAAGAAACCACAACACACACCCAGGTAAAAAAATGATAAAACCTCCACATCAGGAGGAAACAGCTTTTGGTAAGTGATTGGATATGAAGAGATACTTGATCTGTTAGACACAGTCAGGAGTCAAGAATGAGTGAAGACAGTAAAACTTCTAAAGTGTAAGAGAGACTGAGACACACACAGCTTTTTGGTTCCAGAATTTCTCAATAACAGAGGAGAAAAACAAGCTAGTAACATGCGAGGGGGATAGATGAGGATATCCTTGCTGGGTCTGTTTGTTTGTTTGGGGGGTGGGGGGGAGTTGTTTGTTTGAGACTAACAAATATCTTGGAACCAGAATGCAATAAAATACACAAAACAAAATGCTGAGTGTCCCTAAGGGTCCAGCTCAGGTTAAAAACTATGATTTAGGGGGGAAGGGTTAAGACAGCAGAGCACATGAAGACCCTGAGCTTGTCTCAGTCCTTGAAACACAGCTAGATCAGCACCAAATCATTTTGAACACCTAGGAAATTTATCTGAGGATTAATGCAGCAATCTGCAGAAAGTAACCCACAGAAATCGGCAGGTATGTGGTACAGGAGAGGTGAACAGGGGGAGAGAAAAGCCATGGAAGGTAGGGAGCTATTTTCGCAGAGAGGGAAGAGAAAAAGAAAGGGGGTGAGTGCAGCACATCAGGATTGTGCAAGAAAAGCACTCCCCCGAAAGTAGCTAGAGAGAAAAAGAAAGAGTGAAAATATTCACAGGGGACTGAACAAGAAATCTGTTCACCTAAACCCGTCATGGGGAGAAAGGAGAGGGTGTCAATACCACCAGGATTCTGTTAACAGTGCAGCGCAGAATCTCAAGTTCCAGAGCTCGGTGCCTGGCATTGTTCTGGTGAGGAAGCAGGGCAAATCCCCAGGAGAAGGCAGTGCAGTCTGAGGGGCCTGTGTCCCACACAGGGAGAAGTGTTTCTCCTGCTTGGAGAGCATTTGGTAGCAGCCATATCGCCTCCCCAGAAGCAAAAGATCCCAGCAGACCCTGGAGAGCAGTCACAGTCACTGATACTGGGACAAAGACACCAGAATGCAGTGAAAACTGGCCCTAGCTGCGTGTTGCATTTGCCTTAATCTCTGAACCTCTGCAGCCGTGCAATCGCACGAACATCTTCTGGGGTAAGCAGGCACCCAGCCATTGCTCAGTGAGACCCTCCTCCAGAGTTAGTGCAGGTCCAAGCCACAGGAGTCTCTCAAGCGTGCGGTTTTGAAACACAGTCTAATCTGAAATAAAACTCTGGAGGGAAGTGCCTGCCACCTGGCAGGCAAACAGCCAGGGTAGAGGCAGGAAGTGGACGGAGGCCTGAGATACAGGAGGAGTTTTTGATGGCAGGTTGGTGAGAATGCAAAGTTCCCACGCCAGAGACTGGTGAGCTGGCTGAAGCCAATTCCACTTCCCAGGAGCACCCACACAGATCCATCCCAGTAACCTAAGCAGCACCACCTAGCGGAGAACGGAGCCATTACATCAAGCCCCGCCAAATGCCCTCCAAGCACATCCCCTAGAATAGCACAAGCTTCATTGTTGGCTGGTTAGAGTTTCATTAGTGTTTCATTGTTGGATGGTTATAATTTATTTGTTCGTTTTCTTTCTGTTTTTACTTAAATAGTTCTCTTTTTTCTTACTTTTCTTTCTCTCTCTTAGATGCAGAAAGAGAAAAATTTATTTTACTTTGTTTTTATTTTTTTAAATGTTTTATTATGTTTCATTTTATCTTATTCTATTTTTTTACACAAATTATTTTTCATTTTTAAATTTCTTACTTTTTTTTTCTTTCCCTTTTGTCCCTATTCTATCAAGCCTCTTTCAACAAGCAGACCAAAACACACCTAGGGTCTAACTTCCTTTGTTTTTTCTTGTTTTAATTTTTTTATTTTATTAATTTTTCTTCTTCCTCCAAAATGACAACACAAAGGAATTCACCCCAAAAGAAAGCACAGGAAGAAATAGCAGCCAGGGACTTAACACATATATGTTAGAGCAGAAATCAATGATATCGAGATCAAAAAAACAGTATAACGGATCAATGAAACCTGGAGCTGGTTCTTTGAAAGAATTAACAAAATTAATATGCCCGTAGCCAGAGTGATCAAAAGCAAAAGGAAAGGACCCAAATAAATAAAATGAAGAATGAAAGAGAAGCGATTACAACCAACACTGCATAAATATAGACAAGAGACTATCATGAGCAGTTTATACGCCAACAAATTGGGCAATCTGGAAGAAATGGACAATTTCCTAGAAACATATAAACTACCAAAACTGAAACAGGAATAGAAAATTTGACAGACCCATAACCAGTAATGAAACAGAATTAGTAATCAAAAATATCCCAACAAACAAGAGTCCAGGGCCAGATGGCTTTCTAGGGAATTTTACCAAACATTTAAAGAAGAGTTAATACCTATTCTTTTGAAGCTGTCCCAAAACATAGAAATGGAAGGAAAACTTCCAAACTCACTCCACAAGTCCACCATTACCTTGATTCCAAAACCAAAGACCCCACTACAAAGGAGAACCACAGACCAATTTCCCTGATGAACATGGATGCAAAAATTCTCAACAATATACTAGCCAACTGGACCCAATAATACATTAAAAGAATTATTCACCATGATCACGTGAGATTTATTCCTGGGATGCAGACATACCAATATCTATAAATCAATCAATATGATACATCACATTAATAAAAGAAAGTATAAAAACCACATGATCCTCTCAAGAGATGCTGAAAAAGCATTCAATACAGCATCCTTTCTTGATAAAAACCCTCAATAAAATAGGGATAGAAGGATCATACCTCAAGATCACAAAAGCCATATAGAAAAGACCCACCGCTAATATCATCCTCAACAGGGAAAAACCATGAGCTTTCACGCTAAGGTCAGGAACACGACAAGGATGTCCACTCTCACCACTGTTATTCAACATAGTGTTGGAAGTCCTAGCCTCAGCAATCGGTCAACACAAAGAAATAAAAGGCATCCAGATTGGCAAGGAGGAAGTCAAACTTTCACTCTTTATAGACAACATGATAGTCTATGTGGAAAACCCAAGACTCCACAAAAAAAAAAAAAATGCTAGAACTGACACATGAATTCAGCCAAGTCACAGGATATAAAGTCAATGTACAGAAATTGGTTGCATTTCTATACACCAATAATGAAGCAGCAGAAAGAGAAATCAAGGAATCAATCTCATTTACAATTGCACCAAAAAACATCAAATACCTAGGAATAAACCTAACCAAAGAGATGAAAAATCTATACATTAGAAAACTATAGAGAGCTTATGAAAGAAACTGAAGACACAAAGAGATGGAAAAAACATTCCATGCTCATGGATTGGAAGAATATTGTTAAAATGTCGATACTACCCAAAATAATCTACATATTCAATACAATCCTATCAAAATAACACCAGCATTCTTCACAGAGCTAGAACAAACAATCCTTAAATTTGTATGGAACCAGAAAAAGACCCCAAAGTAATGCTGAAAAAGAAAATCAAAGTTGGAAGCATCACAATTCCAGACTTCAAGATGTATTACAAAACTGTAATCACCAAGACAGTATGGTACTAACACAAAAATAGACACATGGATCAATGGAACAGAATAGAGAACCCAGAAATGGACCCACAAACATATAGCCAACTAATCTTTGACAAAGCAGGAAAGAATACCCAATGGAAAAAAAAAACAGTCTCTTCAGCAAATGGTGTTGGGAAAACTGGACAGCGACATGCAGAAGAATGAACCAGGACCACTTTCTTATACTATACACAAAAATAAACTCAAGATGGATGAAAGATCTAAACGTAAGACAGGAAGCCATCAAAATCTAAAGAAGAAAGCAGGCAACAACCTCTTTGACCTTGGCCACAGCAACTTACACGTCTCCCGAGGGAAGGGAAACAAAAGCAAAAATGAACTATTGGGACCTCATCAAGATAAAAAGCTTCTGCACAGTAAAGGAAATCATCAGCAAAACTAAAAGGCAATTGACGGAATGGGAGAAGATATTTGCAAATGACAAAGCAGGTAAAGGGTTAGTATCCAATATCTATAAAGAAATGATCAAACTCAACACCCAAAAAACAAATAATCCAGTGAAGAAACAGGCAAAAGATATGAACACTTTTTCCAAAGAAGACATCCAGATGGCTAACAGACACATGAAAAGATGCTCAACATCACTCATCACCAGGAAAATACAAATCAAAACCACAACAAGATATCACCTCACGGCTGTCAGAATGGCTAAAATTAACAACTCAGGCAACAGATCTTGGCAAGGATGCGAAGGAAGAGGAACTCTTTTGCACTGCTGGTGGGAATGCAAACTGGTGCAGCCACTCTGAAAAACACTATGGAGGTTCCTCAAAAAATTAAAAATAGGGGCGCCTGGGTGGCGCAGTCGGTTAAGCGTCCGACTTCAGCCAGGTCACGATCTCGCGGTCCGTGAGTTCGAGCCCCGCATCGGGCTCTGGGCTGATGGCTCAGAGCCCGGAGCCTGTTTCCGATTCTGTGTCTCCCTCTCTCTCTGCCCCTCCCCCGTTCATGCTCTGTCTCTCTCTGTCCCAAAAATAAATAAACGTTGAAAAAAAAAATTTAAAAAAAAATAAAATAAAATAAAAAAATAAAAAAAAAAAAATTAAAAATAGAACTACCCTACAACCCAGCAATTGTACTAGGTATTTATCCAAAGGATACAGGAGTGGTGTTTCAAAAAGGCACATGTTTACAGCAGTACAATCAACAACAGCCCAAGTATGGAAAGAACCCAACTGTCCATCAACTGATGAATGGATAAAGAAGATGTGGTGTACGCGTGTGTGCGCGCGAGCACGCGCGTGCGCGCGCACACACACACACACACACACACACACACACACTGGAATATTACTTGGTGATCAAAAAGAATGAAATCTTGCCATTTGCAACAATGTAGATGGAACTAGACTGTATTATGCTAAGCAAAATAAGTCAGTCAGAGAAAGACAAATATTGTATGATTTCACTCATGTGGAATTTAAGATACAAAACAGATGAACATAGGGAAGTAAAAATAATATAAAAACAGAGAGTGAGACAAACCATAAGAGACTCTTAAATACAGAGAACTGAGGGTTTCTGAAGGGGCGTTGAGTGGGGGGAAGGGCTAAAGGGGTGAGGGACAATAAGGAGGACACTTGTTGGGATGAGCACTGGGTGTTATATGCAAGTGATGAATCACTAAATTCTACTCCTGAAATTATTATGATACTGTATGTTAACAAACTTGGATTTAAATTAAAAATAAATAAAATAAAAAGAAACATGATTTAGCAGGGAGGCCACAACAAAATTTTTTTTATTTTTTTTAGAAGTTTATTTATTTTTTGAGAGAGAGAGAGAAAGTACGAATAGGGGAGGGACAGAGATAGAATCCCAAGCAGGCTCCAGACTGTCAGCATGGAGTCCACTGTGGGGCTCGAACTCACAAACCATGAGATCATGACCTGCGATCATGATCTGACCCGAAGTCAGATGCTTACCTGACTGAGCCACCCCAGGGGTACCTCAACATTGCTTCTTAACCTTTTCCAGGAGCTAGTCCAGGAACAAGGTTGAAAGACCAGAAGCTGTAGTACCCAACTGGCAAGACAGGCATGAAGAAGGCTAATGAAGTGAAGAACTCTAGGATGCTATCAGAAGTGTGACTGTGTATTGAGCCCAGTTTAAGAAACACACAAAGGCCATAAGCTCTAGGAGGGCAGGGAAATTTGTCGATATTGCTATATCCTCAGCAGCCAGGACAATGCTTAACTTATACTAGGGGTGCAATAAATATCTGTGTATGGATGAGTAACAGATGGACAGAAAAATGAAAAGGAGTAAAGTCTAAGATAAAAAGAAGAAGGAAAGCACAAGGAACTAAATGTTCCAGATAGTAAGAATTGTATGAAATTTAAGATTTTTGGTTAGAAGGCATGAGGAGTTTCAGATTTGAGGTTTTTATAAAGTCCCATGACCATGAAATACAGTTTCCACAGATTTCTGATACTAGAAAGTTGAGTAAATCGGGTGTTACAGAGGCCTGGTTTACTAGTTATTAGAGGTGAATGCAACCATAGCTATTTACAGCTATCTTTGATGTTGTTTAACTTACCAGAAAACTTTAAAAAATACATTACTATAGGTTAGTGTATTAATTGATAAAACATTATAATTTATTCTTCAAAATGTATTTGACTATAGTCTTTGGAGAAAAATTTTACACTAAGTTAGAACTTTGATTTTCATGGTTTAATATTAAAAATAGTGGATTACACACACATGGAATTTTAGCATTATCTTACCATCCTCCAAAAACTGGATATCAGATGTGTCAAGATTATGGTCTGTTTCAAATAGCTGTTTCCCTAAAAGAAATAAGTATGTTTAATTTAAACATACCTTTCCTCTATGTTCCATAGTTTCCCATGTTTCCAAATTTTCCTCCATCTTCCCAAACCCTTTAAAAAGTATACTAATCCAAGAAAACAAGTCTGAAACCTTATTTTTGTAACTTCTAATAAATGTATCAACTCAGTAAGTAGCTAAGAAGCATGTGATATGTATTTGCATTAAAACGGAAGAAGTGAAAACCCAGTCTGCTTTAGAGTCCTAGAAAAACAAATGCATGGGACTCTACCACTCCTAATGCCTGTCAGATTCTGAAGGTCATATAGCAGCTGTATCTCATGATCCATCCATTGTAATATCTAGATCAAAGATAAGCCATAAAAATTAATTCTAATTATAAACAAAGAAATATCATCATGTACACAGAATGCTTTCTTTTTGTCCTAGATCCCTAAGTACATTCTTTTCTTAAAGAAATTTGTCTATGTGATCATCTTGCTGTGTAAGAATTAGATAACTGGAGGGAAAGTCTGGGGGAGGGAGTCTCATACCACTTAATTTATTTTTTCCTGCTTGCTCTTCTTCTTTCATTCGTTTCTTTTTAATTTCCAAGAGTTCTGCATCAAACTTGGCCTTCCAACTTAAGAAATTCTCAATTGTAACAGGAGTGCCATGAAATAATTGCTTAGAAAATAAAAAAGACATGTGGCCAGATGAGACATTTATAATCTATAACAGAATTGTAATTTATAAAAAAATAATGTATAGTTCTCAATTTTACCTGCATGAGCTCTACTAACCTTTAATAACTGATTATTAATTAATTACTCATGCTATGTAACCAATGCAGTGAGGGACTTCTAACATTTTACTTAGTAAAGCCTAAGTAAAATTTACTTTTATTTTGTGATTGCCAAAACATGTACTGAAATTTCCAAAAACAAAAACAAAACCAAACCCACCAACTAACCAAAACAAAACAAAACAAAACAAAACAAAACAAAACAAAACAGATTAAAAGAATAATGAAAGAAAACCCAGCTTTATAATATACCTTTTCAGCTTCCTCCGCTTCTTTTTCTTTTTGTTTCTTTTCTTCTTCTCTTCTAGTTTTTATTTGATCTACTATTTCATTTAATTTTTCTTGCACAGCTGTCACTAAAGTAAAGATCATCACCATACCAAGATTTTCTTCTGCCTATGTAACCAAAAGAAACAAAACAAAGGTTGTAGTGAGAAACATGCTTTTCAGAAAAATTTGAAAAATTAAACAATGAAAAATATTTCATTGTTATCACTAAATCCCATACATTTATAATATGATTACTAATTCAGTTGCACCATGAGTTCGGACACTTGGATAAATGATCATTTAAGAAGTGAGCACAGATATACGTGTACATGAATAATTAAATTTTAAAAGATACGTAATTTGCTACAACTAACCTAAAACAGACAATTTACTAAATTCTGTTAAATAATCATAAATGTAGGTAGAATTCAGAAAACATTTTCCTACAGCAGCTAGTAACATGAGTTTTCTAGCATATTTTCATGATTTTAGATCTTTTGAGGTACTTTAAGAGCTATGGGAATAAACTGAACTTTGAGGCCAAAGTGATTTTCTAATATACGATAATAAAGAATGTAGGTACTTTTGTGATTTATCTTTACCTACCTTTTTTTTCTTCAGTTTGACATGGCTTAAAATCAAATATAAAAGCTCTCCAACTCATGAAAGGGGTCTATAGTTGCCCTTAAACAATACAGGTTTGAATCGCATGGGTCCACTTACATGCAATTTTTGTTTTCAATAAATACAGTACAGTACTGTAAATGTATTTTTTCTTCCTTATAACTTTCTTAATAAAATTTTCTATAGCTTATTGTAAGAATATAGTATGCATGTAGTACATATGTCATACAAAATATACATTAATTGACTATTTATGTTATAGTTAAAGCTTCCTGTCTGTTAATAGTTTTGGGGAAGTCCTAAGTTACATGAAGATTTTCGACTGTGTGGAAGGTCAGTGACCCTAACCCTCTGTGTTGTTCAAGGGTCAACTGCAATTCAAAAGCTATCCGGAAGGTGGTCATTTCAAAGCAGAATAAAATAAAACAAGATACCTTGCTTATCCACAGAAACAAGACACACATGCAAAAAAAAAAAAAAAAAAAAAAAAAATCCAAAATATACAAGCCAGAACCTTAATCCTAGAAGCAGAAGAGATTTCCAAACATTCCTTTGACAGGCTGGACTCAGCAGCATCTGAGTAGATATTTCATCTCCTGGGCCCTCTGTGAATACAAGGCTTCAAGCCAGCTTCTCTTCCCTGGAGCTTTTCTTATGGTGTGTCTGTCCATGCTAACTATTCTAAATCTGACACTAAACAAACCTCTCTCCCAAAGACCAAATCCATATTAAAACTACCCAGTGGACAGCAATATGATGTCCCAAAGGCATGTCAACACTGAAACCATCATCTTCTCCAAAAAACCTATTTGGGTTCTCTAACTCAGAGAACCAACCATCCACCCGGCATGAACACTCACATCACATCATAAATTCTATCACCACCTCTAATCTATTCTTAAATATCATTTAAGTCTGCCTACTGTTCTCTATCAGCACGGTTACTACCCTAACCCAGGACACCATCAACTTCAACTTGGAATATTACAAGAAAATCCTAACAGGTTTTCTTAAAACCTGTGGTCTTGTCACCCCTGACATCAACTTCTCTGGCCACTCAGTACACACCCAAAACTGATCTTGTCAGTCTCTTCGTTAAAACCCCTCAATAGTTTCCCAAACCCACCGGGAGCAAGACCATAGTTTTAAAATAGTTCTAAAGACCCTTAGGGAATGAATCGCTTTAGTTCCATCATATAGTATCAATAACCCCAAATTTCTAAGTTCAAGAAATTTAATATGACTGAAGTTCTGGAAGGAAATAATGAGCTCTTTTCTCTCACTTACATGACACTTAACAAGCTTGCTCCTCTACCTTAAAACTCTACTCTTTATTGCCTGGCAAACTCTTCCTCTTGAAAGCTTCTCCAGTGCCTCAAGCCTATGTCCACTCTTATAATCTTGTACTTCATCCATCACAGCACTTTTCACACAGAATAATAATTTCCAATGTGCTAGTCCACATTCCTCACCAGAACATAAAATCTATTATAGGAAGGACTGTGTCTGCCTTAAGTCACTTAATCTAATGCTCAATACATTTCAAAAACAAATCCCAGTAGGATCTCTTTTTTAACAACCTAAGTATTCCAATAGAAAAGCAAAAAAAGGGGGCATGTGGGTGGCTCAGTTGGTTGAGCGTCCGACTTTAGCTCAGGTCATGAGGTCACAGTTCGTGAGTTCAAGTCTTGCATGGGGTTCACAGCTGTCAGCACAGAGCCTACTTCGGACCCTCTGTTCCCCCCCCACCCCCGTCCCTCTCCCATTCATGCTCTCTCTCTCAAAAATAAACACTAAAAAAAGAAAACAAAAGCAAAAAAAAGAATCATTCATGGAACTAGAAAACTAGAAGTCACACAACAGATTTCCCTATCACTACTAACTAAAGAATTTCAAATTATGATTCTACACTATCTTCCATCTTGTCATCATTTTTTCTTTCCAAATGAAAAAACCTAATGTTAGCAGATGGAGGCAGACACCTCAAGGGCTACAATGAGATCATAACATGGCACAATCATTCTGAAGGTCAATTTGGCAGTGTGTATAAAATTAAGTAGGCATAACCTTTAATCCAGTAATCTTACTTATAGAAAACACTGAGCTAGTATACTCATCAATAATATACTCTTTTCATCTATTCAAAAAATAGCTAAGTGTCTACTATGTGCCAGGCACTAAGGATTCAATGGAGACTCTGCTCTAAGGATTTAAGCACCTGGGTGGCTCAGTCGGTTAAGCGTCTGACTTTGGCTCAGGTCATGATCTCACGGTTTGTGAGTTCAAGCCCCATGTCGGGCTCTGTGCTGACAGCTCAGAGCCTAGAGCCTACTTTGGATTCTGTGGCTCCCTCTCTCTCTGTCCCTCCCCCACTCACGCTCTGTCTCTGTCTCTCAAAAAATGAATAAACGTTAAAAAAAAAATTTAAGGGGTGCCTGGGTGGCTCAGTCAGTTAAGCATCCGACTTAAGCTCAGGTCATGATCTCACAGCTCGTGGGTTCAAGCCCCACGTCAGGCACTGTACTAACAGCTCGGAGCCTGGAGCCTGCTTCGAATTCTATGTTTCCCTTTCTATCTTCCCCTCCCTCACTCGTGCTCTCCTCTCTCTCTCTCAAAGGTAAACATTAAAAAAAATTTAACAACAAAAAATTTCTTAAAAAGAATGTTCAAAGATTTAAATATTAAATCAGGCAAAAATGAGAAGTAATTAAGTTGTTTCAAAAAAGATGTGTATAATTACACATATAGTGAAATTCTATGCGGTTATAAAAAATGATTCATATACATGTTTACTTAAATGGAAAGATACCCACATATATTGTTATGTGAAAAAAAGGATATTATGATATATTATGTATAGAATGATTTAAATTGGGGTAGAAGAGGGGTATTATGAATATAAGCATAAGAAAAAAGTCTGGAACTATATCACACCAAAATGTTAATAGGTAGTTCTACCTCACTGGTAAGATGAAGAGTATTTTTAATTTTCTTCTTCATGAGTTTCTGTATTTTCTGGAGCTTTAATAATATGAATTTATTATTTTGATAACTAAAAATCAATACTATTTTGAGAGAAAAAGTACAAATATTCCCTCAGTATATCTGATCTCAGCTAAGTAGGAGAAAGAGATCAAAACTTTTCTGAAAGGAAGGAGCTGGAGTATAAAAATATAAAACACACAGAAAGCAATCACTCAGATCAAATAACTTACATTAGTATATGACTGAATATAAGCAAGCATGTATACCAGGTTCTCTGCAATGTCTTAAAATGAAGCATTTTAAGCCAAATATTAGAATTAGTATAATTTCATACTGAGTGGCAGAGTGAACACAGCCCAGGATAAGCATAAATTCAATTTAATATATCTTCTTTTACTTTTCGTTCTCTAATAGCTCCAGATATTTTTCAAATATCAGCATTCAGAGGACAAACAGTCCTTGAAATACACCAGTCACATTTAAGGTATAGACAGGGCTTCTGTCAACTCTTGTTAGAAGAAACAAACAGTACTAGGACTTCTGTTTATAACATGGTGGAGTTAAGATTTTATTTGTCCTCCCTACTTCCTACTTTGAAGAACCCGTGAAAACTCTTTACCCAAGCAAGAGAGAGCTTTAAATACTGGTTAAAACCAGACTGCAGGTAGCCTATCCTACCAAAGAACTAGCCAAGAACTTTCCAGTACCCATTTTTTCTTCCATACACCCACGCCCCCCACCCCCCACCTCAGAGGGATCATAAACCCTTGTTGCTGCTTATAAGCTTGGGGAGAAGGAAAGATAAGAAGAAAACAAAACAAAACAATTACCAGTCCTCATCCCAGATTACAAGCAACTAGCCTGCAACAGGTCAGAGGGGTTGGGAATTGTAGTTTTTTTTAAAGTCAGAATTTTTAACCATACATGGGACTGGAAATTCTGGGAACCACATCAAAACTGCATTTAAACTTAAAGTACCTATTAGATACTTTATTAACTAAAAGTCATGAGGGGACACCTGGGTGGCTCAGTCAGTTAAACGTCCCACTTCAGCTCACGTCATGGTTTCTTGGTTCGTGGGTTCGAGCCCACATCAGGCTCGCTGCTGTCAGTGCAGAGCCAGTTTTCAGATCCTCTGTCCCCCTCTCTCTCTGCCCCTCCCCCCCACATGCATTCACTTGCTCTCTGCCTCAAAAATAAAGAAACATTTAAAAATATACTTTATAAGTCATGAGGCTGACTGGGTTTCAAACCAGGATATAGGCACAACTTTTCTTACTCAAATTTTAAATGTATAATGAGACACAAAAACTAAAAATGTTTGTGAATACATATATATATATAAACAGATACATCACAAATTCTCCCTGTTCAGTGAACTGGTTATACATATTTAATAGCATTTTCTAACTCTTAAAATTAATGTATACTCTTTAATGCCAGTTAAAAAAAATGCTATTACAAAACTTATTTCCTTACCTGTAATGCTAATAGTTTTAAAATGTCTGAGACATCATTATCTTCTAGATTTTCCTGGGAGAATATTTCATAAAGAGGGGCTTCATCTGGGTATTTTTCACTGTATGTAAACTTGAGGGTAGTCTGGACAGCTAAAGACATAAGAGTTTGAAAATGAATCTCTTACAATGTAAAGTGCAGAGAGGTCACCATCTTTGTTGAATCAATCATTAATTTACAATGTGTCAATGAAAAGTAGCACAACAGATTTTCCTGCAAAGAAAAACAAGGCTACTATGAAATCAGACAGATAATCTAGGATAAGTAACATATACCACAAAGGTAAGTGAAAATAAATCACGGGAATAAAAAAAATCACCTCTAACACATGAAATACATTTATTACTTACGAGTATTTTACCATATTGCATGTCTAAGAAAGAGAATGAATAAAAGCCTCTCTTTTTGAAACCCTCCTTGGGGCTCCTGGGTGGCTCAGTCGGTTGAGCATCTAACTTCAGCTCAGATCACGATCTTGTGGTTTGTGAGTTCAAGCCCCGCGTTGGGCTTTGTGCTAACAGCTCAGAGCCTGAAGCCTGCTTTGGATTCTCTGTTTCCCTTTCTCTCTGCACCCAACTCCAACTCACACTCTGTCTCTCTCTCCCTCTCTCAAAAATAAATATTAAATAAATAAATAAATAAATAAATCCTCCTTAAGACAAACAAAAGGCACAGAATATAACACACAGAAAAAGTACTACCTAACAACGTGGATGGAACGAGAGTATATTATGCTAAGCAAAATAAGTCAGAGAAAGACAAATCTCATATGATTTCACTCATATATAGAATTTAAGAAAAATAGATGAACATAGTGGAAGGGAAGGAAAAATAAGATAAAAACAGAGAGGGGGACAAACCATCAGAGACTCTTAAATATAGATAACAAACTGGGGGTTGATAACGCGGCGGGGGGGGGGGATGGGCTAAATGGGTGATAGGCATTAAGGAGGGCACCTGTTGGGATGAGCACTGGGTGTTATATATAAGTGACGAATCACTAAATTCTACTCCTGAAACCAACACTACACTGTATGTTAACTGACTTGAATCTAAAACAAAACAAAAACAAACAGAAAAAAAGAAGTACTAACTTGGGCTCATTGTCAGGCCCTACCAGAGCCAGAGCCCAGGGCAGAAGATCTGGTGTTAGCCCTGGAGTCTTTATTTCTATCTGCAAAATGCTAGCAGGGCATTGTTAAGGGGTTGCTGCTACATGACATGGTTTTGAACTGGACGGTTTGAGAGGTTGTGTGAGACACTTTCAACCTGACTCATCTATACATTGTCACTTCTTTTCACCTGTGTCATGCATACATCTGACACTTGTATAGGAGTGAGATTCTCACAGGCACATCAGTGCAACGTATCTCTCTATAGCCCAGCCTGGTGAATTCTCAATTCCACCAGGCAATTTGCAACTAAGCAGCAGTGCTTAACATTCTGTATTAAAACTTATTAATCACAATGATCCTTTGTCTATACTTTGCCTTTCTTATAACTTACATTTTAATTTTTTTTTTAAGTTTATTTATTTTTGAGAGAGAGAGGCAGAGCACAAGTGGCGGAGGGGCAGAGACAGAGGGAGACACAGAATCTAAAGCAGGCTCCAGGCTCTGAGCTGTCAGCACACAGCCCAACGTGGGGCTTGAACTCATGAACCGTGAGATAATGACCGGAGCTGAAGTCGGACACCCAACCATCCGAGCCACCCAGATACGCCATAACTCACATTTTGATTATTAAAACCTAATTTTGATAATTTTAACTCAAATCCAGATTCCTCTCCATGAAAGGGAAAAAGAAAAACCTTGAAATATGCAGGTTTGAGATTTTCTTTTAATTTTTGTGTATGATGTCAAAAAGGAATTTTATGAGTCAATGGATATAAGAAACACCGTTATCAGGTCAGTAAGGATACAGTGTCTTTTGGCATTTTCTCTTTTTTTAATTAACATATTTCTAATTTTATTGTTAGAATAAGAACTTTTTAAAACATTTCTTGATTTTACTATATGATGTAATAGATATTCATTATAGAAAATTTAGAAATACATTAAGGGAAAAATAAAATCAATAATAATCCCACCATCAGAAAGAGATCACTGTTTCCTTTTGGGGATATTTAAAGTATCATAGAAGTATTTTTTTAACGTTTATTTATTTGGAGGTTGGCGAGAGGCAGAGAGAGAGACAGAGAAAGAGACAGAGAGAGAATCTCAAGCAGGCTCCATGCCCAGAGCAGAGCCCGACATGGGGCTTGATCCCACATCCGTGAAATCATGACCTGAGCCAAAATCAAGAGTTGGAGACCCAACTGACTGAGCCACCCAGGCACCCCACCTTAGAAGCATTTTTAAAAAGATAGGTTAAAGTATCTTCTATGTATTTATTTACATTTCAAACAAAATATAAAAGCATACTCATGTTGTATTTGAGATTCTATACATAAAACCCATATATATAAATACATATATAAGTAAATGACTATATCCAACATCCTTTTAATTCAGACTTTAGTAATATCTCGGTGCTAATCTCATTTTCAATTGTACAAGACAGATTTAGAGTTATCAAATGATACCACGATTTGAGTGGTATCATTGTAGTTGTATCAAATGATACTACTAAAATTACTGACTGTTCATGGAAGTGGTAGAATTTAAATTGACTAACTTAATGTTAAAAAAAAAAAAAATCCTTGGGGTTAACACCAACTTACATGAAGTTTTTACCAAATTCCAATATTAACTGAACTGCACTAAAAGTGGAAATGAACTTCAGATGCTCCCCCAACATCTGCCACGTTTAAATCAATCTATTTAATTTTAATTTATTGGTTTTATAGCTGCTTTGTCTTAGTTCTACAGTTGGCTTTTATCTGCCTTTATGTATATACACATTTAAACATCAGTATAACACCCATCCTAAAAAGAGAGAGAAAAACATGAAGAGAGATATTTATTCAGTCTATTTTATAACAGCAAACGTCCAATAAGCAATCTAAATGCCCAGAGAGGACGGGGAGCCTGGGTGGCGCAGTCGGTTAAGTGTCCGACTTCAGCCAGGTCAAGATCTTGCGGTCCGTGAGTTAGAGCCCCGCGTCAGGCTCTGGGCTGATGGCTCAGAGCCTGGAGCCTGCTTCCGATTCTGTGTCTCCCTCTCTCTCTGCCCCTCCCCCGTTCATGCTCTGTCTCTCTCTGTCCCAAAAAAAATAAATAAACGTTGGGAAAAAAAAAAAAATTTTAAATGCCCAGAGAGGAAAAACAATCATGGAAAAAAAAGTCGCTCAATGGAATACCACATAATCACTGAAATATGTGTGCATTCGAAGTCTTGTTTAGGGCTATAATCCTGACTACATACAATCCAGGACTACATTCCTGAGAGTGACTTAGGAAAACCACAAGTATTTTTGGTTGGACTTACTTTCATCATTTTCTCCAGCCTCAGATGTCACAGTAATGGTGAAACTGGGTGGATTTTCTGATAATACTGTAAGAAAATATACACAGAGATTAAGTTATTAAGATGCTTCCTAAGGCAAATGTTTTTATTTATTAGCAAAATATCACTACCAGGTTCTGGAAACATCCCAGTCTGTAATTCCACTTCCACAAATACAGACTAAACAGAACATTCAAATGATAAAACACTCATAAATTTTCTATTTAAATCTAGGGTTACCTTTAATTTGGAAAAAAAAATACCTATAGTAGATACACTCTTGGAGTTTTATCAAACCAATTAAAGTAAGTAATTTACCTTTTATTTCAAAATTTCCATCTATATATAGAAAATTGTATTCTAAAAACTTCCAAAATGGAATGACAAAAAAAGTTTGATATTTTCATCAGAAACTACCCACTGATATTCAGTATTATCACTAATTTTTAAACTTATAGACTCTAAGATATAATTCAGAATCTCCATGACAAACAGTAAATATTAATTTGTTAAAGTTTGTGTTTTCTACCTCTTTCTTCCCCATCATCCTTAGAACCAAACTTTATTCATTCACCAATTATTGAGTCTCTACCACTTTCACCAAATTACAAAATGAGCCATGAATCCAACATCAAATGGTTTACAATTTGTTAGGCAAGTCAAGACATGCAAATCAACATTTATATAAATAAGGAAGTGCTATATACCATTTTATAGCCTGATGCCTACTTGATACTACAGTATCTGTTTACATCTCTTCCCCCACTAGAATACTATACTATGAGAGCTCCTAGATCAGTGCCTGGCAGATCCAGAAATTCAATAAATTCCGGCTAAACAACAGCGCTAAAACAATGGAATGAAAGTTGAAAAGCAAAATCAAATTAAATTTATATTCAGAAACATTAGAAGAGTAAACAAGAAAAATCCAGGCCACCTGTGATTGCTGCTGAGCCCCTGAGAAAAGCCTGTGCCTCACTCCAGCCCTGAGAAGCACTGGCCCCTGTCAAGGCTGGTAGCAGCTCAACAAACTCTTTCTGAAATGAAAGGCCAAGGAGATCTCTGAAGAAGTCACCAAGGAAACTACTCAGCTTTTCCTACTCAAGAACTTCTGAAGCCTTCCTAATTATTCATGATCAATAAAGTTTTCAAGACATATGCCTTCATTTTAACTGAAGTTTAAAAGTACTGTACTTGAAGCACTGATGAACACCTAAGATTACTATAAAAGCATTTGTCAAGAAGATAAGCCTCTCTGGACTCAAATTTTTTTTTAATGTTTATTTTTGAGAGAGACAGAGACAGAATGTGAGTGGGTTAGGGGCAGAGAGCGAGGGAGACACAGAATCCGAAGCAGGCTCCAGGCTCTGGGCTGTCAGCACAGAGTCCGATGCGGGGCTCAAACTCACAATCTGTGGGGCGCCTGGGTGGCGCAGTTGGTTAAGCGGCCGACTTCAGCCAGGTCACGATCTCGCGGTCCGTGAGTTCGAGCCCCACGTCAGGCTCTGGGCTGATGGCTCAGAGCCTGGAGCCTGTTTCCGTTCTGTGTCTCCCTCTCTCTCTGCCCCTCCCCCCGTTCAAGCTCTGTCTCTCTCTGTCCCAAAAAAAATAAATAAACGTTAAAAAAAAAAAAATTTTTAAAAAAACTCACAATCTGTGAGATCGTGACCAGAGCCGAAGTCGGACACTCAACCGACTGAGCCACCCAGGCGCCCCTCTGGACTCAAATTTATTTTAATAGGCCTCAGATAGTCCAGCCCATGCTAAAAAGTCGCTGAAAGTTAATTATAATAAAGCTTTAATAATAGGATTGACCCTACTTTTTTTTTGACAAATATATGCAAAACATATTAGATATATTTCATTCCTATTTCTTTCCATGACCAACTTTAGCATTTACATGTCATAAAATGTAAACATAACAATTATAGAAATAAGGGTTCAACCCAATGATATCCCAACTTATTACCATTTTTAGGACTCTATTAGGCTATAATTTAAGGGTTTCCTAGTAACAACAGCTAACATTTATTAAGCATTACTTTGTGCCTGTTATACTACGCATTTACATAAAGATCCTTTAATTCTTATACCAAGACCATGATTCTATAATGTTACCGTATTTCACCAAATTTAAGATGCTACCAAGTATGAGATGCACCCTACTTTATGTACTAAGAAAGAAAGAAGGATCTGCCAATTAAACTACAATATGTAATTGATTATAAGACAAAATTCATATTTCAGAGATGTTAAAACATAAAAATGTCTTACAGCCAATTAAATATAGCATCATCCCAATTTTATAGATGTGGAAACTGAGATAAAAAGCCTTTAAATAATCTGCCCAAGGTTATTCAGCTAGCAACTGGAAGAACTGAATAGACAATAGTGAGTGTCATGTAAAAAGAAAATATTTTTTTCAGCTGAGAAATTCCAAAGAAGTCATTTGAGCTAGGCTGTGAATTAAGGCATACTGGTAAGTAAAGATGGAGAAAAATGTAGGCAACAGTAACACAGCAGCAAGGGCATAATGAGGGAAAGTTTAAGGAATACATATGGAACAAGAAATTATTCCATTTGGTGAACGTATACGTGGTGAAAAGTAGTTAAAAATACAGTTGATGTGCTCGCTTCGGCAGCACATATACTAAAAAAATACAGTTGAAAGTTTCATTGTGGACAATAACAATTTTTTTTGCAGCAGCAGTATGGTCAGAATTGTACTTCTAAATGTAGGAAGATAAGTCTAGCAACAGAGCATAAATTGGAAGGACAGAAACAAGACTAGAGGCAGGGTGAAAGTAGAGAGCTATTAAAATCATCCCAGCAAGGTTAATGAGGTTCAGAACTAGGTCAGCAGCCATGGGAATAGCAGGAAACGGGGAGGACTCTAAGATGGTGATAAATGACATTCCGAATTTGCAGTCAGAGGATGGTAGTGCCACTAATAAAAACAAAAAATACAAAAGAAAAATCAGAGGTGATATACTTAAATGACACAGGGACCTTTCAACTGGAGACAGTGAGTATGCAATATGCAATCAGAAACAGGCAAATGGAGCTAGAGAGTTGAGTTTGAATTTAATTTGGGGTCATACACACAGAGGTGATAGCTAAAGCCATTAGACTAAATGAGATCACCAGAGAGAAAATAGAGAAACAGGGCCAACACCAGCTTTGTAAGGAATCCTAAATTTGAGAAACACAAGAGGAATAAGTGCTAGAGAGAAAAAGCAAAGCAGCAACCATGAGAGGTCAAGACAAACTCAAGGTAAGTCTATTTTGTGAAGCCACTCCATCTACTGAGATCCAGGTCTAGCATGGCAGTGTCTACAACGTGTACCCTATGTGTCTGTGTAGCTCTGCCAGGAGGAAATGGGTGATGGACCCCACTGGCCCTACAAGATCAGATCTAAATCCCTAACAAGGCCCTCTGTAATCTGGCCTCTGCTTCCCCGACGGCTCTCACTTTCCATGACTCTCACTTCTTATTTATGTTCTAGTAATACAAAGCCACTCTTGCTTTGAATGCATTTGCTTTCACAGAGTCCTGCTTCTGCACATACTGTGCCCCGTCCCCCAGTTCCATTCACCTGTTAGCTCCTCATCACCCATCAGTTCTCCAAAACAATCAAGAATCTCCGCTTTTCTTAATGCTCTGGCTGCATGCCATATATTCCTCCAGGAAAGAATCATCACACTATGTTGTAAATTACTTATCTGATGTCTTTTCCCATTAGACTGAGATTCTAACAATGTATACAATAAATATTTGGTAAATGAGGACTTGGGGATGCTAGCAAGAACATCACTGAACTGCCTGACCTTGGGAAAAATATAGAATAAGGTGGCAAGACAGACAAGAAGCTGAAAAATTCTTAATCCATGAGATATCATAGAGGCATGTTCAGTAAAAGAGCTGGAATGAAGAACTACCGGAGTACAAAGTTTATGGACAGAAAGAGGAATTTCTGAGGCCAGTCTAAAGATGGTATTTACATGCTCCCCTGCAGTTGAAGGAAATGGAAATCAAAACTGTTCAGGAGCCTGGGTGGCTCAGTCGGTTGAGTGTCTGGCTTCGGCTGCGGTCGTGATCTCATGGTTTGTGAGTTCGAGCCCTGCGTCGGGCTCTGTGCTGACAGCTCAGAGCCTGGAGCCTGCTTCCGATTCTGTGTCTCCCTCTCACTCTGCTCCTCCCCCAACTCATGCTCGTGCTCTCTCTCTCTCTCTCTCAAAAATAAATAAACATTAAAAAAAAAAAGACAAGGAATTATGAAGCCACGTCATTAAAAAAATCAGCAACTAAGATGGTAAATTTCTAGTAAAAAGCATCTTATATTTGTTGTAACAGTTATAGAATATTTGCACATACATTACTCCCCATTAAACACATAAGAAACCAAAGCTTGGAGAGGTTATATGATTTGTCCAAAGACACAGAGCTAATAATATCCACTACACGAAGCTGCCATTACAGAAAAAAAAAAAAAAAATGTGATCCAGGAACAACAAAACATATTGGAGAACGCTACTAATATCTCCCAATATCTACTCACCTCATCTTCTAGTTATACCATTTTTAACTGAGCATATTAACCACCCAGAATAAAGACTACATTTCCCAGCCTCCCTTCCAGTTAGGTCTCACCAAGTGACTATCTGACTAAAGTTCCGGCTAATGAGATGGAAGCAAATAAGTTCTTTGACAGCTTCCAAGAAATTTCCTTAAGAAACTGTCTTTTTTCCCCCCCCCTTCATTCCTTTATCTATCCTACTGCCTGGAAAGGAATGTGAGCATCTTCACCATGAGGCAGAGACTACATCTTAGAAATTACAGGGAACTAAGAAGCAGCTTGGGTACCGGAGGAATTCCTGGACTAGAGCTATACAACTATCTTTTATGTGCAAGAGCAATAAAACTTTCACCTTTTTAAAACAACTGTTGTTTGAGGTTTTCTGTCAAAGCTGAACCTAATCCAAAGGATGGAAGGAAGGAAGGAAGGAGGGAGAAAGGGAGGAAGGAAGGAAGGAAGGAAGGAAGGAAGGAAGGAAGGAAGGAAGGA